ACACACACACACACACACACACACACACACACCCTCTCTCTCTCTTTCTCTCTTTGGCTCTTTATTGTTTATGTAATTTCTGTCTCTCTGCCTTGTTTCTTTCTCAACTCTTTAGGTCCATTCCTGGCAAAGTGTACTTCCGTAGTGTTTCCCAAATGACTTTCCCGACTCCTCTATACTGGGCCACAACCACAGATTGGAAAACAATCGCTACCCGAAAGTTATAAAGTTATATCTGCTCAGTACCTAGTCTTGAGAAATTTAACGTCCAAATTGTTGAGTTCCACAATATTATATCAAGCTTTTTGGAGTGCATATTTTTGAAATATTTTGATAACGGCTCTGAGTGTTCTGACTGTTTTGATAGAGAAGATGGAGCATTTGGTGTTTGGCCTCATGATCTTACTGAGTCAAAACAGTGTAATTCTGAGGTACCGCAGTTTTTATTGGGTAATTGTTAGGTCCATATCCTGCACACTTTGGACATGGGTTAAACCCATATATATGTGGAAGTATATTTCTTCAAGTACCTCATTCTCTCTCCTTTGATGCTGTACCCCACCTAGATCGTATTGACTCAGACAGCGGGTGGTTGGAGGGTGCTCTGATGTGGTTTGCTCCCTCCTTCCTATTATACACCTGTCATCCTGGTCTCTCCTTCTATTTTTGTGTGTGTTTGTTATTCTCTAGTAACACCTCTAATCCTCGTCACTTTTATGACAGTGATGCAGTTGCGAGCGCCGCAAAACCACTACTGAAACTAAAAACAGGTGTCGTAAAACTCTGTTACGGAAGCTAAACTGAATCAGGCAGGCTGTGTCAAAGCTGCCTGCTGCCTAAATGATCAAATCGAAATCATGTGGGTGAGCAACATTTTCGATTAATCTCACGTTGGTTTCATATGCGCCATTTATCCATCTGTAATTCTCTTGCGTGTGGCGGCGAAGCGCTTAACCACTAGACCACAGACGCTTATAGTATGCTAACCGAATTGCACTCGTAATATTTTTTTTTAAAGATGTATTTGTCATCAGTTCCTAGGACACTTCTATTTTCGTCGAATAGCGGCCAATATGTCTTATTTACAACATGAAGGTAAGGTAATAATAGTAGTAATGTCATTGAAAGCTTTATAATGAATTTATTCAAGGAAAGCATTAAAAAGTAATCATCAACGTTCTGTTTTGAAGCTAGTTTTGTTTTGCATAAGAGGTCAATTGTGTTCCTCAAACATTGAGGCCCCAATAGAAACTGACAATATCAAGAGTAAAATGCATTTGTATCACATGTGGTAATATCTTGTAAATATATTGTTGTCTCTGCCCTTCTGTCTGTCTGTCTGTCTGTCTGTCTGTCTGTCTGTCTGTCTGTCTGTCTGTCTGTCTGTCTGTCTGTCTGTGTG